GGACATTTCTATTTTGAATTGACAGCTATAATGGAGTAACGGGTTGGATTGAAACACATTGTGGCTGCTGTGTGCCAAAGAAATTCAAGAAGCTGACTGCAAAGGCCACCTGTAAAAATGGCCGAATCATACTTCTGAAATATCTCCTTTTCCAAGAATGTGAATGCAATTATGATGTCTGTAAATATAACCAATAGAAGAAGAAACTACTTGGTGCAAACTAGAATAAATGAGATACACTCTACCGAAGAAGTACAAATCCAGAACTACTCATCATCATTATTAACGTGTGACCATAATTGCACTTTTTAATCAAGAGAAGAAAATCATAATTGTGTTTAAAATAAATTTTATGACGACGAAATGCTCACCATTTTTGACTCTACTTGCTTTAGCTTCTTTTAAAGCACATACATCCTATTTATGAAAGTTAATCCTGTACTGTCTACAATAAATAATAAATGCTGAATTAAATGTTTTGAATAATTGTGTTTTTTTTTCTTCATTTTCTAATGTTGTTTAATTTGAAATTTCTATTGATAAAAGCATGCTATTGAATGTAGAAAAGAGAATCCATAAATATAATTATAGCTTCTGTAGTTGAGTCAGTGCCAGCTATATGTCTTATCATGTTTACAGGGTCTATCTTGCTTTGGTCACCCAAGTAACTGCTTCAAGGCGCTTCCATAAAATTCCTTATTTACAGCAGAATAGATGTACATATTATCAAACACCCAGGCTGACGCTGTTTCCGTCTAGCTGTCTACATATTCATGTGATGCTGATATTATCATTACATTATTATCCTTAAACATTCTGCTGATGTCGTATTACTCTACATGAGGCCCCCAGTTATGGCCTGTATAGAATTTGTTAATCACCAAGTGCTAGAGTTAGCTTTAGGAGGAAAGAAGGAAAAAATGTCCAGTGAGTCCATGTGATTGCAAATCAATGTACCTGTACAATCTCCTGCCAAATCATCCACAGGAAGATCACACTCAATTTACAAATGATCATTTTGGAACAACCAGTTGATATCAATTACTTTATTTGTATTTAAATTTGCAAAATGTTCACTTAATAGGATAACTGAACTCACCTAAAAGATCCCAGAAATCATCTTACTTTAGAGCTAACAGGACATATGAGAGATAGTAGGAACTGCAGATGCTGGAAAATCTGAGATAACAAGGTGTAGAGCTGGATGAATACAGCAGGCCAAGCAGCATCATAGGAGCAGGAAGGCTATCAGAGATAGTAGGAACTGCAGATGCTGGAAAATCTGAGATAACAAGGTGTAGAGCTGGATGAACACAGCAGGCCAAGCAGCATCATAGGAGCAGGAAGGCTATCAGAGATAATAGGAACTGCAGATGCTGGAACATCTGAGATAACAAGGTGTGGACCTGGATGAACACAGCAGATCAGAGATAGTAGGAACTGCAGATGCTGGAAAATCTGAGATAACAAGGTATAGAGCTGGATGAACACAGCAGTTCAGAGATAGTAGGACAAATGAGATTAGTAGGATGACATACTTGGCAGAAAAGGGGACCCAACACATCTCAGAAAGAACCTGATAAAATAACAGTGTGCACATTTTCACTGTGTCTGGGTGGGTTTCCACCCACAGTCCAACGGTATGCAGGTTAGGTGGCGTGGCCATGTTAAATTGCCCATAGTGTCCAGAGATGTTTAGGTTAGGTGGATTAGCCATGGGAAATGCTGGCCTACAGGAATAGGGTAGGGGGGGTTGGTGTACACTTGAAGGGCCAAATGGACTGCTTCCACACTGTAGGCTTCTATGACCCAATCTGTAAAATGTGTCACATGGAGTGACGGCCTACAATCAGGGGTATTCCTCAGAGCTGTACAATATAAGACCATAAGATGTAAGTGAGAGAAGTAAGCTATTCAGCTCATCAAGTCCTCTCTACCATTCAATGAGATCATGACTGATTTGGAATCCTCAATTCCACTTTCCTGTCTTTTCCCCGTAACTCTTGATACGCATGCTGATTAAAAATCTGTTTATCTCAGCCTTGAATATACTTAACGACTCAACCTCTACAGTCCTCTGCAGTAAAGAATTCCACAGATTCATTCCCTCTTAGAGAGGAAATTCATCCTCAGCTGTCTTAAATAAGTGACCCCCATTATTCTGAGATTACGGGAAGCAACTCCTCAACATCTACACTGTCGAGGTTCCATCCCCCCAAGATTCTTAATAAAATCTGAAAGAACTGCAGATGCTATAAATCAGGAACAAAAACAGAAGTTGCTGGAAAAGCTCAGCAGGTCTGGCAGCATCTTGAAGAAAAAATCAGAGTGAACTTTTTGGGTCCAGTGACCCTTCCTCAGAACAGAGTTTGGACCCAAAACATTAACTCTGATTTTTTCTTCACAGATGCCGCCAGACCTGCTGAGCTTTTCCAGCAACTTCTGTCTTTTTTTCCCCCAGATTCTTGTATGTTTCAGTAAGGTTGCCTGACCAACCTACTCAACATCTCCTCATAAAACAATCCCTCCATTCCTGGGATCAGCCTAGTGAAATTTCTCTGAAGTCACCAATGCTAGTATATCTTTCCTTAGATAAGGAGACCGAAAATGTTTGCAGTATTCCAGCTGTAGTCTGACCAGTGCCTTGTATAGTTTCAGCAAAATCTCACTAGTTTTATAGTGTGTTCCCTCGAAATAAAAGCCAACATTCCATTTGTCTTCCTTTTCGCCTGCTGAAGATGGATGCCACCTTTTTGTGATTTACGCATGAAGACTCCCAAAACTTTATTTAAATAATATCCTTTATTCCCGCAAAGTGCATAATCTCACATTTTTGCATATTATATTTCATCTGCCAAGTTTTAGCCCAATCACTTAATTTATCTATACCCCCCGTGACTCTGTGTCATTCTGACCTTTCATCTTCCCATCTAATCTTTGTGGCATCCATAAACTTGGCTGTGGTATATTCACTCTCATCCAAGTCATTAACATATATTGTAAATAACTGTGGCTCTAGCACTGATCCCTTTGGCAATCATGACAAATTGCCAACCAAAATGCCCCCATTATCGCAACTCAGTCTTCTTTTTGTTAGTCAGTTTGAGAGTGAGAAACTTGAGTCAGAAACATCCGATTCCAAGTATGACGTGTTAGAATAGATTGGACTTGTACTCAGTGAGTTTAGAAAAATGAGAAAAGACTAAGATTTTTAGAAGAATTAACAGGGGAGAAGGTTTAACAACAGAGAAGACCCCTTTCGTTTTCAAAGGATCAGGCCAAATTCCCCCGACTCAGACCTCATTGCATTTTAGAGGAGTAGGAAACCATAGCTTGGAATGGGGAACCCTTTGAGAAGTAACTTCAAAAGGTCTTGTTCTTGCCTATTCCAACTCATACCAACTCATGCCCCCTGCAACATGGCCCCTTATAGTGCATAGGACAATTCATGCCAACAGATAGCCTTCTATTCCCAGTGTGTTCTTTGTGACTATATGGATTATTGGTTCTGGACAATGATATGTGGAGCTGCTCAAAAAGGAAAAGCTATTATTCATAGATCTTCCTTTGTGGGAAAAAAAGTGCTGTTCTAACAACTCTATAAAAGTGTTAATTAAATAAATAACATAAGTATCAATGACAGAGAGGCCGCAAATGCTTCACACATATTAATTTTGTACAAAGAAACACTTAGACCTGAAGTTTTGAAATAGCAGAGGGGTCCTTGGGCTTAGCCAAAATGGTGCAGGAGGTCTGAATCCACAAGTCCCATTCCCAACACCATCATCCAGTGCTGGATGGTCACACTGTTTGGTATATAGTATTAAAAATGTTGTGTGATGTATAAACAATTTAGCGTTAACTCAGCCAGTAGGCATGAAAGTCTTTTCCTGTGCTTAGAAGTGATTTATTTGCAATAAATAGCAGTTTCTTATTAAATATAGGCTCTTTGTCAATGTTTTCTGTTAATCTGAGTCCATCCGATTGCGAGGTTTGGGACTTTGAGTAATTAGATTAAAACTTTAACATATAGGATGTCCTGGAGAGTATTGGGGATCTGATAACAGCAGAATTTCCCAGGTGGAGCTTGACACCTGTCCAGACTAATTATGTTCTTCCTTCAATGTGATGACCGGAATTGGACATAAAACTCCAGCTGTGGCCTAAAGAGTGCTTTATATAGTTCCTGCATTTTATAGGTTATAAAGGTCCCTGCTTTTATATTTAATACTTCACCCAATGAAAGAAAGCCAACCCCCCATTTGTTTCCTACCTCCTTAACTATCTGTCCTGCCACCTTCAAGGAGGCGTTGCCATATATTCCAAAGCCTCTTATTTCCTCAAGTCTTCTCAATAACCCCTCATTTAATGTGAATTCCCTTCCTTTGTCTTTCTCCTCAAATGTAGAAGCTCACATTCTCGGATTGGATTTGATTTGCTACTTTTCCGCCAAGTTCACAAAACCATTGATGTCTTCCTGCATTCAACAGCAAATTCAATTATTTGGCCAATTTTTGTCTCATCTGCAACTTTCTCAATCATTTTGAAATCTATATCATTAATATATACCACAAATAACAAGGAAAGCAAAACTGATGAGCCCTGTGGAATGCCGCTGGAAACCATTTTCCATTTGCTAAAACATCTGTTAATTACCTTTGATTCAGAGATAGTAGGAACTGCCGATGCTGGACAATCTGAGATAACAAGGTGTAGAGCTGGATAAACACAGCAGGCCAAGCAGCATCAGAGGAGCAGGAAGGCTGACGTTTTGGGCCTAGACCCTTCTTCATAAATCTTCTAAGGATGACTACCCTGAAGAAGTTACCATCCCCATTTCTGAAGAAGGGTCTAGGCCTGAAACGTCAGCCTTCCTGCTCCTCTGATGCTGCTTGGCCTGCTGTGTTCATCCAGCTCTACACTTTATTATCCCTTTTAATTACCTTTGTTTACTGAGACAATGTTTGATCTAAGTCATCACATTTCTCTGTATCCCACAGGCTTTGTTTTCTCTACAGTTCCACAAGCAAGATCAGTGTTGTTTTCTTCTTGGATTCCAATCGGTTAAGACTCCATATCTACACAAATGGGAAGCTTGTTTGTGTCGAGATGAAGAATGGTGACAATGAAGATGGAGAAAAGGATGGGAGCGATGACACATCCCTGCTGGCCCCTGTCCTGACCTCAAAGGATTCTGTCATTTTACCATTGGTGCGGACCATCTTGCCATGGAAGAGACAGAGGATGCTGATGAATTTCACTGGATAACTGGCCTTTGACAGGGACTTCCACAGCACTTCCTGACTTACTGCAGTATGTAGATGACAACATCACCTCTAATTTACCAGAAGAGAATTTTAACACCTTCGAGGAAGCATACTGGTCTCAGCCTCAACCTCAAGAAAACTCAAACCCTTTACCAATCCATCCCAGGTCAAGTTCTACTCCATCCCTCCATTAAGAGCAGTGGTGAAATCCTCTGAAACATGGAATATTTCCCTAACCTGGAAAGATACCATTCATCAAAGGCTGATATCGAAGCGAGGATTCAATATCACATTCAATCTGTGAGTGCCATCTCCAGTCCCTGAAGGAAAAGAGTCTCCTATGGCTGAGGGTCCAGAACCGAAACGTCAGCTTTCCTGCTCCTCTGATGCTGCTTGGCATGCTGTATTCATCCAGCTCTGCACCTTAATATCTCTATCTTCTATGACTCTGACATCTGTGCTGATTCTACGGATAAGGCAATCATCATTCTGATTCTTCTATATGGCTCTGAAACTTTTAAGTTCCCCCTTGAGAAGTACATCAATGCTGTTTGAGATGGTTTCTCTGAATCAGCTGGGAGGACAGGCGTACTAACATCAGTGTCCTTGAGGGAGCCAATAGCACAAGCATCGAGGCCATGGTCATCCAAAACCAACTTCATTGGGCTGGCCAGGTACTTTGGATGCCTGAGTTCCAACTGCTAAAGCAAATCTTCTTCGGCCAGCTGAAGGAAGGCGCTCAAATGATAGGGGTACAAAGGAAACGCTTCAATAGGAGGACAAACAAAGTATTTCAAAGACTCCCTGGAGCTTTCCCTCAAGAATGCAACATGGATGTCAACATGTGGGAGACTGCAGGAGCAAGATTTCCCTGACTGGGGACGAAGTCTCAGGAGGCAGACAGGATACAGGCACATAGTGGATTTTTATTCAAGCAAAAACCAGTTAGTGCAGGGAGAGGGCCAAAGGATCTTCCCCGAAACTGGCTTCGATGTGAGGATGCAGTTATCCCCTTAATCTTCAACTCAGATTGGAAGAGGGATCAATGACACACTCTAATTTTTAAAGTAAAAAGCAGTATTTTTATGCACTTTGTATTAGAATAATCATACACAATATGGTTACCGTACCCTCCCCTTCCCGTCTGTGGGACCAATCCTGTAAAACACCTGATGAATCATGGACATTCGTATTGACAAATCTAGGTTCTTAGTTTTTTTATGGTGTTTAACAATTATTGTAATTTCTGGGCCTTGGGATCTTTCTGTGTTGCATTCCAAAGTTACTGGCTGTCGTCGTTTTGGTCATGCCCCTCATTGTTCATCTCTGAGATCTGTTTAAATTCTATTGTTCATTGTACTGGCTATCTCTTATCAACTTCCATTACCCCTTTTTATATAAAAAGTTGAATCTGTTATAAAAACTTGTAATATTAATAATAATTATAATCTTTATAATTGTTTTCTATTGTTAACATTTTTGGCTAATCAGACAAGATACACCATGCATCTCTTTAATGTTTTCCCTTAGAGCATTTATCTCAGTGACTATTTAAAGAATCTTTAACTCAAACTTATTAATATTGTAAATAGTTTCAAAGAGACAGCTAATTTCTGCAACATAACTTTAGCTGCTGTTTTTATGGCTGAAACTATCCTTAATGAGACAAATTACTTGTTATGATTTTTCAAAGCTTTTAAGTTACAATTTCTTTATTTCTGTGTTCTGTAACAAATGTTCCAAATGTTCTTTTTGAACCTTCTTTATCACTGTATTTGCATTCTTTGTGATCTTGCCATGCCATTCAGATAATGTTTTCTTTTGTTTTGGGCTAACCTCCTTCTCAAGTACCCATTGTTTTCACTTATGCTGAAGCAAGCTTTTTTAAAGTGCAGCCATTTTGTGGCTTTTAAATTCCAGCCATTTTGTATCTGTTAAAAATAGGCAGCTTCAACAGAAACCCTCACTTAGAAGAAATCGACTTGAAGGAAACCCTTGTATGAAGGGACATAATTCATCAAAAACACCTGTCAGCACAAGGAAGTATGGAAAAGAAACCAGAGAAAAGAATGCCAATGATCTCGAGGCCTAGGACCAAACCACCTCTATATGTGTGCTTGGAGATGTGACTCTAGGATCAGGTCCATCAGCCACGCTAGGACCTACAAAACCCAGGATCAATGGCACGGAATCTCCTAGATGGACAATCAAACTCATTAGCGAGCAATTGCCAACAACAATTTTTCACTGATCAGTCTGTCACGTGATAAGTTGTCAAGTGCCTTACTGAAATCTGTGTAGACAACATCTGCTGCATGAACCACATCAATCCTTGTTATTTCCTTGAAACATTTAATAAAGTTAGTAAGACCCTTTAATAAAATATTGTGTTGACTATCCCTGATTAATCCCACTTTTCCAAATAACACTGAATGTTATCTCTCAACATTGATACTAATAAGTTGGCCTCAACTGAGGTCAGATTGACTGGCCTATAATTATATGGTAATAACTCAACACTTTTTTGAGTAATGGTATAATGTTAATAGACCTCCAGTCCTCTTGGACCTTGCCTGAATCTCATGAGGATTTGAAAATGATTCTCAGAAGGTCTGTTATTTCCTCCATGACTTCCTTTTAAGACCCCAGGATACAATCCAATCCATATATCAGGTGATATATGTACCTTCAAGGAAGTTAAGTCCCTGTAGTACGTATCATAAAGCTAATATTTCATATTCCTCCACTTTAACTTGAATGTTTGCATCATCCCTCTCCTTTGTGAAGTCAGAGACTAAATAGTGATGAAGAACCCTGCTCACATCTTCTGCATCAACACACAAGTTATCACGTGTAACTATGAGAGCCACATCCCTTTCTTTAGTTAGTTCCTTGTTCTTAACGTACTAATAAAACATCTTTGGTCTTCTTTAATTTTGCTGGCTGATATTTCTTCATATCCAATCTTTGCTTTCCTAATTTCCTTTCTCATTTCAGCTCTGTACTCTCAAAATGCCTCTAAGCTTCTGATCATATTTTTTGAGATGGTCGAAAGCTCTATTTTTCTGCATTAGCTTAGCCTCTGTGCTTCTGGATAACCAAAGAACTCTAGACTGAGCAATACCACACTTTTTCTTTGTGGTGGCATGTCTACATTGTGCCTAGCTTGACCTCTTACTCACTTAGTGCCTACCTGAATGCTTGCACCACACATGCCTTGTCTTGCTATGTCATTGCCAGTTAGTACATTGGCACTACTGCCAAATTGATGAGCTCTTACAGAGAGGTTGCTTGCCATGTTTGCCAGCAGAGATCTGTCCAAGATCTCGTTTATCAGTTATTACAGCAGTGATTACGTTTCCTAAATTCTAGCATCTGAAAACAAATGGAAGAATTACAAAAAACACAGAGGTCATATTGAACTAGTGTCAACAATTTATCTGGTGCCTTATTATCAGGAGGTTGTTTTTGAAACTAAGAAGTATTTGTTCTTTCAAAGAATGAACCGTCAAATGTAGCTGGGCAAGGGATCAACAATTATCCGATGTGATGAGTGTCCATTGGTCAAAAGGGTTGAGATAATTCAGAATTCAGAAGATTGAGGGGGGATCTTATAGAAACATATAAAATTATGAAGGGAATAGATAAGATAGATGTAGAGAGGATGTTTCCACTGGCAGGTGAAGCTACGACAAGAGGGCATAGCCTCAAGATTAGAGGGAGCAGATTTAGGACTGAACTGAGAAGGAATTTCTTCACCCAGAGGGTTGTTAATCTATGGAATTCCTTGCCCAGTGAAATAGTTGATGCTACTTCAGTAAATGTTTTTAAAAAAAAAAGTAGATTTTTTTTGAACAACAAAGGAATTAAGGGATACGGTGAGAATGCAGGTAAGTGGATCTGAGTCCACGAAAGGATCAGCCATGATCTTATTGAATGGCGGGGCAGGCTCGAAGGGCCAGACGGCCTACCCCTGCTCCTAGTTCTTATAACTGATTGATGCTATATAAGTTACCGACCCTGGAAATATGATATAACAACAAGTGCTGAGGGCAGAGTGGAGGTCTTTGATGGGGGTTCTCATTGAGCAGACCTTATAGGTATCAGTCTTCATTGGGCAGTCCTCACCAGACAGACAGAAAATAGAGCAGAGGAATAGGAGGAAGACTAGGGAAGTGAGAGTGCAGGATGCTGGCTCCACCAGTTTAATATCTGTGCTGGTAGTCCGTTTGTCCTCTGGTGTCGGTGAACCAACCCCAGCTGTCACAGTTGTATACTTTATTTCTGTAACTAACTTGTGTCATATCTAAACTGCTGTTCCTTGATAAAGTCAATAAAGTATCAGAACATTACTTACAAATCATTGCCTGCCTAAACTAGGGAACTGTGTTCACAACTCCCCTAAAATCCCAGTGGTGGGTCGGGGATACCATCTTGATGTAGGTCACACTGAGATGGTAGTCTAACCCCTAGAATAGTGCTGTCTGCCTGCTCAACACTGCATCTAACCAGAGAACCCTGTCAGAAAGTAGAGGAGGGCTAGTCCTCCGTCCAGTCAAGGTGAGGGGGGAAGGGGCACTGATGGTCAGGAGTCCTAGTACTGTCAGACAGGGGCATTGCCCCCACACAGTGGAGGACTTGACCACAGTCAGTCATCAGCTTGGGACTCTCACCATCAGGGATCTCCAAATGCAGTCCAGGAAGTGGACACTGGTCAGTTATGTAGGACCAGTGCCATTAGACACAGCAATTGCGTATCATCAGTGAGGGAGCGGTCTGGGATCTGATCAATCATGTTTAAGGGCTGCTTGTCAAAGTTGATCAGACATCTCATGTTAATAAAGTCATGGGAATCTGGCCATTGATTATTGAGGGGTGTGAAAGGGGAGCCTGTAGGAACGGCAGACTGAGACATTAGGAGGCGGAAACAAGGATAGTGATGGGGAGAATACCTCAAGGTGTAGGGAGTGTTGTAGAAAGCATCAGAGGGCATGGTTTGCT